GGAGAAAAGATTTGCATCTATTTGCCAGATAATATAGGAAGTGTCTAAAGCTGGATTACCACCGTTTCACTCACAGTGTATATCTTTTCTCATATAATAGTTGTCTCCTAGTTTCAATTGATATAAATTATCTAAGCTCAACTCTCATTCTGCTGAAATTTAAATATTTTTGTTTGACATCAAAAAATGAGTTACTACATTACTTATGACTATTAAAAGGTGATCATACTTGAAATGTATTTGCATTTGTATTCATTTCAAACAAATTTTCTAATTAAAATTACACCTGTAAACCAAAAGAATTTTTAATCCAAAAGCATGTTACTTTTAAGATGCACAAATGATAAAATGTCAAATATAATGCATTTTTTCATTAGAGAGGAATATTTTTCACAATTTTAAGTATCAGCAATACAGGACATATACTTTGTCTCAATCATTTGTTTATTTGAAATGTATTATCAATCTCCTACATTCATTAATAACTTACCTCTTTGGTACTAAATTCAAATGTAGCACAGATACGTGAACAGGGCACATTCACAATTAGTCTAATAAAAATTATTTATTGAGCACCCACTATAAGTAAGGCACCATTTTTAGAGAGCAACATGTCAAGAAAAAACGAAGGACTGCAGAAAAAAGGAACCCAAGGTATTATTTTTAGGCTACTACTCTCCTACCTCGCCATTTATCCAACGGATAAATTTCTGCCTCAAGTAAACACAGTAAAAATTGCTCATGCGTCAACAGTATTTCTAAAAGGTAAAAGAATATCCATAAAATATGCCAAGATTTTCTGGTAAATACATATAATTTTTAAAAAATCTCAAGCTATCCTTAGCACAAAATTAGTTGAGTGATAAAGGAAAGTTAATCACTATTCTTCACGTCTCCATATCTATCACTTAGTCTTGAAACTCAAAATTTCTGAATATAAGAATTTAAAATCTTTACTAGTACTCAGATTAATGAAAATCATATTTTAAAACTACACAACTTCTTTCCTTATACTCAAGTGACCCAAGAACATCTTCTATATAGAGTTTAACCAAACAAGGTAGAGTTGCATTTAATTTCATCTTCAACACCCAACTGTATGAGACTTGAAAATGTTTTTATCAAACAGATAATCTCTTAAGTCAACAGCTGTCAAACCATTTTTATAAACGATCTTTCAGCTGAAAAAACAAATAGGGTACTTACATAGATGAATAGGACTGAAATTAGACTTTCAAACAACTCAGTAATTTTCCAAATTTGACCCACCTGTTGTTCTTCATCAGACTTAGTTTCAAATATACATTCATGGCCTTCAATAAGCCAGGCATTGAGTAGGTTTGCACGAAGGTGTTTTTTATTTTTTAAACTGATATACTATATAGGATTTCCTTTTCAAGGAATCAATGGCTAGAGTTTCTACTACCTCCCTCCTCTACATTAATCTGGCTATGTAGTTTGTGAGTTCAAAGAGCCATTTTGCTTCCTTCTCTTTGAGATCTATTAAACTACCTCAAACTAATTAACTTGTCTCTATATACCTTTTTGTATGTTAAGCAATGTGTGAGCCAAACCTTACCTCTTTCTGTATGCCACACACAAAACCAGTGGTTAAATTTTCCCCCAAAAGTGTGGTGCCCTGTCAACTTTTGTTGAAGTATATGCATGTATTTTGACTTTTGGAGATTGCATATTTCTGGTTTAGAGAGTCATGGCTGGATGATGAAGTTCACTTGAACAAGACATTAACATTTGATGACTTTGTCTACATTAGCAGTGGTTCCTAATATTATGGTCTTACAATATTCCTGCTCAGTCAAAATGCTGATAAATGAAAAGTGGTTCACTTTTTTCTTCATAAAACAGCTGGAAATAAAAACGTTAAAACAAACTAGAAATAAACAGGACAAGGCTCCAATATTTTTTAAACCAGGTTTAAGTTTTTTTTTTTTTAAATTCAAATTGACCCAAACAAAACTTACATTACAAAGGAAGAACAAAATACATTATGATATAACACACAAGGAGTTACATGGAAGCTAAATTTGTGGGCAAATTGGAAGTTGTTCTTATCCCAATCACATTTTGGGCTAGTGAGCAACTTTGCAGAAAAGTTAGAATTTCAATTTCCTCATGGTCCACTCTGGTAATCAAACTACATATTCTCTTCTCTTTCAGGGTGTGTATGAGAAATGAATCATGCTCCTCTTTGTCCAGATGTGCACTTCTGCTACTGCCAACTCTAGCCAGAACACTAAATTCTTTAGCTGAAGTGCTGTTCCAAGCATGAGTGATAATGAATTAAAAACCAAAACAGTCAAAAGCCTTTCAAACTAATGAGTATGGACTATAACGCAGTAAATAGTTTAGAAATATGGGAATTAAATAATCTAAAAAACACTCTTACTCTGCTGTACATTTATAAACACAAATATTTACAAAACACTCTGCTTAGTTTTAAAGGATGAGGTTTGCAGTTAATTAATGATCATAATCTTCTACTCGCCTGCGTCTTTGGTGTATTTGCCAAATATATTTTTTAAAGGTTTAGTAATAAGTTAAATAAAGTAGTTTAAAAGAAAACTATGAGTATCAATGAAAATTATAATATGGCCTAAACTTTTTGTAGTCAAGATTTTCTGGTATAATCAAATCAATTTGTTTTCTAAAACTCCTTGTTCTTTCTATCCAAATTGTGACAACAGAATGGCTCCATGTAAATCAAATTAAAATACAGACTAGCATTTTAATCAATAAATTTGACCAATTACCTAGATAAATTTTAGATACTGTTAAATGTGATATATGATTGGGATTTTGTTAACAACAACAAAATAAAGTGTTCTTTTTAAGTTACCAGAATAATCAAATTTCAAACAATAAATAATGGAATTATACAATTCTTCATTAAATAGAAATTTCATTTCCAGGAAGGTCTCTCATAATTTTTCTGAAGTCACAGCAGCAACACAGAACAAAGAATTTACCTTAATCTGATTTGTTTATCTGGAACTCCCTGACTAAAACTCAGTGGCTAAATCAGCTTAGAAAATACTAATGTAACACTTTTGAATGAAAATGGGGGAAGAAGAGTTTTAAACTAAATTAATAAATTAACAATTATGGGGGAAAAAATCTTATGTTTAAGATAACTAACATTACTGCTCTGGAATGCCAAGAAATTAAAAGAGTGCAAGGCTCCCATGCCATCCTACCCTCACCTGATCATACCTAGGTGCTGCAATTTCCTCAAGTTATAGGACTAGACATTGTGACATACATGGAGAGGAACCAGGTGGACTCAGACAATGCAAGTGTCCCTATTTGACCATTATTAATCCCTGTCCTGGGAATCACCTAATGGAATGAGAAGGCAGTTAATTTCAGACTCCCCCTTTATTAAGTATGTGACCTCTCTTTGTAGACCATTTTTGGGAGGCATATAACTTTTTTACTATGAAAAGCACAGACCAACTCAAATCCCACTATGCCCAAGTGATAATAACTCTTCAGTCATTACTGAATTAGGCCACTTTTTAAATGATATGCTGAAATTGAAAAGCTTTATGAATCTTATTATCTATCTCTTCTTTCTATAGGTCTCCATTTTTGAAAACCTGCTCACTGCCTAGGCACAACATAGTAAGATAATCCTCACTGCCACTGGATATTGTGCATTCACACTAACATTAAGCTTTGTGCTTAAGTTACTACTTCTGGCTCTAGAGAGATAAAGCCAAAGTGGAGGCCTAATTCTGAATTTAGCTACATTTTTCGGTTAAACCATTTCCCTCACATTTCCTGATGTGAAACTAGCAATACAGAAAATAATAACTGCTTCAGCACCTAAGTTTCTGATAACAAACTCATTGCCAGTACCTAAAACTGTGAAAAGTCTACAAAAACATTAAGAACAATGACATTCTGAAGTTAATATGATGCCAAAGCATGTGTAGAAAACATTTCCAAGGGCATCATCTCAGATCTTTATGGGTCCCAGAAATCTTGTCAATTGTTAAGACACTTTATCATGTCTTATGTTTACAGTGCAAATATGTGCCTGGTCAACTTAGAAAATAAAACCATTCAGTATAATAATTTTCAAAATATAGAGTAAATTTTGTTATTGTATTATGAATTATGTGGATTTACTAAATATGTACCCCACAGACATTTTATTACAATTTAATTGGAAAAAAAATTGAAACCACATCGAATTATTTAACTGTATTGAACCAAAATGTTTTCATCAAATTCTGGACTATACTTTTAAAGAGACCTACAAACATGAGTGTGAAATCTATGCTTGGAGTGAAGTAAAAGTATGTATCCAGAAAAGATATTAAAATCAAAACTTCAATCGATGTATTGTGGTATGGCAATACAAAATTAAAGTAGCAGTCAGTTCCTACCTTCATGGACATATCTAAGTTGGCTATGGAATGATGAACATTAAATAAAACAATGTAAAAAATACACCAGAAAGGTTATTGCACCGGAGGCACTGTTTTAGAAACAGAATAGATTAGCTTTATAAAGTTATTTTCTTTCCCATTAACTTTTTTTTAAAGAACATATTCAACTAGAGACAAAGAGAAAGTGAGACACAATGTCTCTGGGTAGTGTACTACTGTTATTAAAAAACAATGTTAAAAACACGAGCACACTAACAGAAAAGCCGAGGTACTAGATTTATGATATCTTAGCTATAGCAATTAGGAAAAGAACTGTATAAAACAGCCAATTTGTATTCATTAAAATGGAATGGGGTGACTGTATTTATTTTAAAATTTCTTATGGCATTTTCCAGCATATCCCTGGACCCCCCCCTGGATAAAACTATACCTCCAAACCTCACTCAGCTTAATAACAACTGCTCAGCTGGTTTACAATACCATGCGTGCCAATGGAAACCATAAACATTCTGAAAAGGGTAAATTCTCCATTCCAAACCTGCACGCTTCATTAAAAAAAAAAAAAACAAAAAAAAAAACCCAACAACAATAACAACAAACACAACAATTTTCTAAATGCAATATTGTATAGAAAGCTTGGACCTTTTAAACTTGGACCAAGAAACCAAAATTAAGACCTTCTAGCATGTGGTATAAAAAAAAAATCCCTCCCCTACAGTGAAAAACAAACAAAAAAACCCAAAAGTGTATACCTGCCTTCTGACTTCACAGCAAATCAGAAATTGCATAGGATATACTTTGTGCAAGGCAACAAGCCTTTTAAGTATCTGGTATATATCTCCTAATCTTGCTCATGATGTCCCACTGATATCAGATATCATCAAATTTGTGTTTTAAGTAGTCTTTCATGACCTTGGCAATTGGTAGTTCATCAAGTAGTTTTAGGTTTTGAAGGCCTATACATTGGCGAATTTTAATTCGGCACAGGTCCTGCAAGTTTCTGGGCTGCCCTAAAAAGAAAATTAGAAAAAAAAAAGTTATAAAGCTAAAATTGCAATATTTAAGGTGGTATTTTTGGCTTACCTAATAAGGGACTGTTTTTCTAATGACTTTTACACTGTCTATTTTTTCTATTATTGATCAACTAACCAGAAAAAGGCAAAAGCATAACTGCCTAGTAGTTAACTAAAAATCTTATGACCAATTTCTTTCCATTTCCAAACCCCACCCAAATCTCTTTCACACATTCTCTCTCTCTCTCACTCACTAACACACACACACACACACACACACGAGACACAAACAGGAATATATATTTTCTACTGCTGCTCCTAGAACTTCAGTGCTGGAGCTGTGCTGCTCTAATTGGTGAAGTGGGTTCATTGTATCTAGCTGGCTTCAGAACTCCCAACCACACTTCTACCTGGCTATCATCTGACCACACCACTATGTGTTACAACCAAGAGCAACCTTCCTCCCATCACCCATGCTTTTCAATTTGGGCTTAGGGAATGGTAATCAAATCAACACTATCACTGCTTCTGGAAAGGGTGAATAAACTCACTATTCTGTAACTCCACTCACCATCCCTATAACTTTCAGACCAAAACACCCTTCCTTAGCCACCATTTCCTAATACATGTTTAGTCACCCATTAGAATGTAATCATCTTGAGGGAAGAAACTCTTTTATTTCTGTATCCACAATGGTTAGCTTAGTGCCTGGTGCATGGTAAATGCTTAATTAAAGTATTTTCATTCAATCATTTTCAGCAACTTCTTAAATGGAACACAGAAAAAGTTTTCCTGTAAGGTAATATAACCTTTATAGTGGCAAAATAAAAAATCTTCCTCATGAAGGAATGGAGATACTTCATAGACTTCTTGGCCATTTTATTATTTAAGCAATCTTATACAAAATGCTTCTTAATGATTTTTAAAATCATGCTAGTTTAGATGAAACTGCATTTGTTTACAGTGTAAATCTAAAATGCAGTTTCTGTGAATGCACAATGTCCTCAAAGAAAAGTCTTTGCCTTTTAACTAATTTACATAAAACTTGATCTTTATAATTCTATCAGGATAATGGTTAACCTATCCCTGAAAAGGCTTTGCCACTCTGTTGCTGTTATTCTGATTAAAAATGTGTCAATATAATATGATATGATATAATATGATAAAATATAAGTATGCACATATATATGTGTTTGAATGTGTGCATGTATATACGACATATGTTGGCATGTACCTACAATGACAAATCATGGCAAGGGTTTGAAATAGAGATTAATAGGGGATAAATCTGTTGCAATAATGTGTGTATTTCTACTGTAAAAACTGGTTAAGGCAGACCTCAACTTTTGCATGCTCAGCTTACATATAAATGGCTACCTAAGCACCGCAGATCTAGCTAGGAAGACTGAGGAACTACAGGGCCTTTACCTCCCTCTCACACCTGCCAACATTCAGAATGTCTACCCTTTTCCCTCCTCAACAACGCAGAACCCATTGTTGCCTCGGCTCTAGACCTACCCCCAGTGCTAATTCAAGGCTGAGTCTGTGGTGGAAAGGAAAAAAAGCCCTGTTATTACCATTACCTCTCCTTAACAAGTGATACTTATTTATTCCAAACACTTGGTCTTGTAAAGTAGTATTCCCTCCCTCTCTCACTACATCCCCCAGCAGCCAAACCAGCTGTGTGGCCACAGGAACTATACAAACTCCATATAGTTATCTCCAATTATCATTACATATCACATTTATTAGGAGAATAATCTATCGCTGTCATTTTCAATAAATGCTTACATAAATTTTTCCTTATCGAGCTAAAAGGATTCTTAAAATCTTCAATTCAAGGTTTACTGCTATATACAGATTATCTGCAATATCTGAAATAAATTGCAAATAGTAATAGAGTAGAAATTAATCCACAAAAGGGGGGATTAAATACTCCCATTTTTTTAAATGCAATTTTTGGACCTAAACTATGATATTTCGTCTCACAGTATGAATCACCTTATTAGACAGATGATCGAAGGCTATATTCACAAGATTAGTTTATAGAAACCACTACAACAATATATTCAAAGAAGAAAAGGTGAGTCAGTCAAAAGCATGATATATTGCTGTGTATTCTGATGTAATTATGTTCCAGTTGATCTCTGCAAACATCTTTCTTAGCCTTCTCTATGAATATGTACCTTCTAGGTCTAAGTCTCAATGGTAAGGTGATTTAATTTGCTCTTGGTTTCTTTCCCTTAGAAATTGAGTTAAGTCCTTTCTTACTGTTCTGAAATTAAATATTTTTGTTTAAATTTCAGAACAATAAGAATGTTTCTTAATGAAATGCTATGTTCTTTTTGTTTGGTTTTGGGGTTTTTTTTGGCCACTTCACCAAAAAAAAAAAAATTCTTTAAACTTAAACTTCGTTTAAATTAAAGGAAGGGGCAAAGCTAAAGAAATGAAATTACTCCAGGTATTCAGACAACTGTAAGGGTAATTTGAGCATCTTTAATCACCAAGGATACTTTTATAGAATAAACGCCTTCCTAGGTAAACTGATTGTCCCCTCCTTGGAATGTGTAATCTCTGCCCATTAACAGTAACAATTTGCAGTGTCTTAAATTAGGGCATTCCATATCTCTCTCCTTGATTTTTTTTATAGATAAGAGATGAGGAAACAAAGAAAAGTTTATATAATGTATCTTAGGCCACATGAAGTCGTGGACAGAATGAAAATTCTGAACGCCTCTGAGTTGAACTAATTTGGCAAAATAATTTCTCCTTTTTATCCAACGTAGCTTAAAAAATTTCCTCACAGCACTCTAATACAAAAGAACCACTTAATATTCACAAGACTTTAAGCCTCATGGGACCATAGATTTAGAGCTAGAAGGTACCTGGAAGATCATCTAGTCCAACTTTCTCATTTGACCAAAACACCAGAAAATATATAAACGAAACAAGTGCTGTGCAAAAAAAAAAAAACAAAACTCTTTTCTCATTGCTGTTACTGTTATTAGTATACAAAGGAAAATCATCTACTATATTAACTTCCAATAATTTAAGACAGTGGTGTCAAACTCATGTAGATATGGAAATGGGAGCATATTGACTTAGAAAAGCACAAATTAACACTATTTATGTTGAAGTGTGTTTTTATTTTGTTAAACACTGCCCAGTTACATTTTAATCTGGTTCTGGCTACACTGGGGAATTTTGCTTGTGTCACAGAGTGGACCCCCAAATTTGACAACTCTACTCTAAGACATAAACTACTACAAATTTGTAATCGTACTTTAAAAATATTTTCACATCTTTCATCTCATTAAATCTTCTTAAGAACTTTGTGGGATCAGATTAGGTAGGTTTTATTCTCATCTGAAGATGAAGAAACTGAGGTTCAGAAATGAAAGGATTTCCCTAAGGTCCCGCAAATAAATTAATAGTTTAATATTAGAATTACTGACATTACTAAACAGAATTAGGCAGGGATGCTAGTGAAAACATACAGAAGAAAATTACTGAAGGAAAACTGGCAATAATTCATTCAGTCAGCACATGTCTGAATGAATGGAGATTTAAAATGCTATAACAATACCTACGCTTCAGAAATTTCTGTATCTGAGTGTATTTGATTGCAATATTATTTAAAGAGGTAAAAAGACTAATCATTAAATATATTAAAATTTACTAAGAAAATCCTAGCAGTTTATAACAAGGCATGTTCATTAAGCGTGTAATAGGTATTTAATAAATGTTTGTTGAGTGAATTTACTAGATACATATAGTATGTAATTTTTTGACCCAGGGCTGTGGTGAGCAAAAAATGAGATAACATAATGTAAAAAGGTTTACAAATCTTACAGTGATTTATATATGTTAGCTCTTATTATTATATCATTATTTACAAGTATGTGAACCCAGAGGAGTGGGAGTTGGGAGCAGGGAAGAATGAAGAAGTAAAAAGAGTAAAAGAAAGTAAGGAAAGGGAAAAGCACAAATATAATTAGGTATAAGTTTTGTTGGGTATCCTAGAATTTCATTCTTATTCTAGTTTGTAAGAGCTCAAATGCCTATAAGACTTTAAAGGCAGAAATGAGCATGATGAATGATTGCAAAAAGTGTAATTTAAGGATCACATCAATTATTGGATATACACAGAAACTGCAAGGTAATCATACTGAAGAATTTAAATATATTCTGTAACAGTTCAAAGGATTGTTAGCATTTTGATTTTGTAAGAAAACTATCATAATGGGTGGGTATAAAATAGAAGTAAATCAACTCTTATAGGTCCATTACAAACCATGACCCATTACCGTAATTTCTGGAATTAGAAATTCAAGTCCACCCACTTCTGATATCTAAATTACAATATTTATAATTGGTTAAAGTTATTAATTTAGATGAGAAACAATCTCAAAAATATAGAAAGAGGCAAAACATCTGTGATATGTAACATTTAAAAAACTGAACCAAGAAAGGTTATGGAGTTTTTATAATATGACTATGAAAAAAAACTCTGAATCCTTTTCTAGATTACTTCATACAATCTCACTATTGTTAGTTTGAGGACCTTCACTGCAGCACAACATCTGGAATAGCCTTCCTGTACTTCTTTGCTTTATCTCACCATCTCATTTTAAAATCTCACCACAAACATATGTTTTCTCCCTTGCCTGTGCCTTGGAATTCCCTTCTCATTCTGCTATTTTAAAACTCTGTAATTTCACAGTAACTTAAAACAGTAAAACATTAGAGATAGTATGAAACAAGTTAAACAAAAGCATAACTATGGACAAAGGCAGCTTTTATTGCTCTTTTTTATTCATGGGGAATGCAGAGAAATATCACTGGTTATCTAAAATCAAAGGGCTAACTTCAATTTCATTAATCTGTAATCAGAACACAGTGTTGGCCGTAATGAGACCTCTGTCTATAAATCACATTTTCCATAGGCAAATTATGTGTCTTATCTTATATTTCAAGTTGCACTGAATGACAAACAA